TTAATATTAACACTTTCATTGCATATGTTTCTATGCATGTATGTATGTATGTGCGGGTAAGTAAAACGGCGTGTGCTTGCAAAGTTTCTTAACGATTATGTGCATTTTGTTGTTGCAACTGGAAAGTTCCACAAATGACATGTGTCATGAAGCGCTTTATTGTTGTTGAGTGCAGGAAAAAAGACGGTTGGAAAATCATGTTGGAAGAGAAGAGCAAATATGTGATAGTGCAGGGCTTAGCAGACTAGAAAACCATATGGTGCTGCCAAAATAACGGTTAGTTAGTAAAACAAATAATTAATAATTTTCTCAAGTTTATTGGAATTATTCATATTTTTTAATTAAGGGGTTATATACAGTTAGAAGGTCGAAAAAAGCGAATGAACCAGTTTTTTTTTCTGAGAAAACTTTTAAATTTATTGAACCAAAAATTTTGTATCGTTTAACTGTATTTTAAGACTTAGATTAGTAATCTAATATTTATTAACAAAGGAAAATATGGAAATAACTACGTGAGGATATTAACAAAAACCCTTGAGGACTTGGGTTTAAAATAGTAATGAAGAAACTCGGTGTTCGAGCAAAGCCACCTGAACTAACCGCTGCCAAAATGGATCACAACGTAAACGCACCCTTCTCCACACACGAAAAAAGGGCTAGTGATCCAGAACAAACTCTAAGATTTACGTAAATCCCGCAGTTTATTCTCGAGGAGCTGCAGCTATTCACTAATAACCCCAAGGCCGACAAAATACCCGGCCCGGACGGGAACCCAGCAGAAATCCTGAAAATAATCGCTGCTGAGCAAAAGGCATTACTTTTTAATATGTACAAGGCCTGCTTCGAAGCCGAAAACTCGAAATACCAGAAGAATCATACTTAATTGGCTAAGCGGACGACATTGCAGCAGTAATTACAGCACGAGACACAGACTAAAAGCGAAGAAGCCTGCAGTTCACTACGGAAAACCACAGCTCAGATGGCTAATGAATAAGCAGACACCGAATATCGAAATAAGTATGCTAACTACTACGGATATTCTTAGGACAACAAAAGCAGTTACCTTGGTGTAGGATTGGACCACGGACTAACCTTCTGCGTACAAATCCAGCACGTAGACCCCACCTAAGACTGGACCCCAGACTAACATTTTGTGTACAAATCCAGCAATTCGCAAGAAAGACAGCGAAAATCAGCTCCCAACTTAGCAGACTAATGACCAACATAGGGAGTCATAGCCAAGAAAGGAGAAAGATCCTAATGTCGACGCAGAAAAGGCCGCCTAAATCACCTTCCAACTTAGAAGACTAAAGAGAAAGCTCTTAGGGTCAACGGCAATCAGCGTCTTATTATACTTAACTGAGAGTTGGCTGCTAACCATCCATTGAGCAAACGGCGCTAAATTATTTACATCCAATAAAATAATATGGCAACACCTGCACTGGAAGGAAATCCTTTATTGCATTATCCTGTCACAGAAAGTTTTTCAACTTGGCTTTTGCAATGGCAAATAATTTCACAATTTCATTTCAAGCGCCGAATTGAACGGTCGACCTGGAAAAAGCAGCAAGCACCACTCGTAGGAGCGCAACGCCGAGCAGCAGTTCCCTTCAACCACCGGACGCCACTCTCTGGCGAATGGTGTTACAAACATTCTCAATTAGAAATATACATAAAACCAAGTGGGGCACTGTCTTGCGTTGTCATTACAAATCTGCCGTTTGAAAAGTCGATGTCACAGTGAAAACGCAAAATCTAAAAGAATATTTAACTTAGAAAAAAGAAATGCAAATGCATGCAGACTGTGAAGGACAGTGAATATTTGAAAACTTTTTGGTGTTTTTAAGTTTAGTGCAAAACTTTTTTTCCACTTGTCTTTCGGTTGTCCGTGGAAAGTTTCAACTCTTCGAGCGTGATTTTTTTTTTTTTTTTGGATAAAACTCGCATACTTATTTACCTTATCTGTGCAGTTTACTGAGTTATTTCGCAAGCACTAAACCAAATCTAAATGTTTAAGAAGTCATAAAAAGTTATTGCATAAATTTATTTTAAATGTTGAAACGCAAACGTTATAAAAAGCAACACAACTACTAAATGTGAAAGGAAAACGCAATTTGCGCAGCGAAACTAGAAACAAAAGTTGTATGCTCCAGCCAAGTAACGGTGTAACGTTTGCCATGAACCTCATACCAAATATGTGCGATAAAATGTTTATACTGATTTTATTTTATTATAACGGTTCATATAATTGGAGTAAAAAGGTTTAAACAAATAGAAAGCATAGCACTTGAAGCGCAGCACGCAGCAAAGCCGCAGAGGAAGGACATCAGTATAGCAGGTTTGTAAATTTAAAATTTTTCAAAATCGCTTTAGAGGAAAAAATAATAAAAAATATAGTAACATACGAATTCTTAAATATTCCATTAGTCATAACAAGATTTTTTGTATACGTGGCGCTTGTATGTAGGGGTTGAGCCATTTTATGCGAATAAGTATATTTACGCGTGTGTTAGCCTTTGTTTCTTTGTTTGCGATTTATCGATTTTTTGGCAGACACATTTTATTTTGTCAGACAACCATTACAACAAACCCACACTCGCATAGCAAACGAACAAAGCAGCCACTTATAGTGTATTTGGGGTTATGGTACACGCGCAACACCGGTGGCTTGACAAAAAGTATTATATTAGCAAAGTGTGAACTCAAGTTCACCGATGTCAAGATGAGACTAATTGTTCAAGCATTAAAAAGAGCTTAAAAATAAGTTTAGTAGAAAAAAAAAAAGTAAATAAAGAAATAAAGTATATGTGACACCTGAAGCGCGAAAATATCACCTGTTAAGGGCGTATTCTAGTCTAGAGACATGAATTTCAGTTCAGTTTTTACCACTTTTTTGACTATAGTATTGATATTAAATATTGAAATTTGCGGATATGGCTAGTTCAAGATATCAACAAGTCTATATAGAAGACTAACTAAACATTTCAGCTAAATCGGTCGAGTGGAACCTGAGAGATCTTGAGTATCTTGAGATCTTTGAAAAACACAGAAAATTTTCGAATATGGCTAGTTCCCTATATAACAAGATTAAAGAAAACCAACCAAAAAGTGTAAAGTAAATCGGTCGAGTAAAACCTGAGAAGTCGTGGGCATCTTTTTTGAAAAACACAGAAAATTTTCGAATATGGCTAATTTCAGACATAAACAAGCTTATAAAGAAGACTACTTGAAAATTTTAGAAAAATCAGTCGAGTAAAAAATTTCTTAGCTATCGTTTGAAAAATACAGAAATAGAGAAAAAACGCTTTTATAGTTTCAGTTCCGGCCGTACCAGTTTGGAGGCCGAGTTAGCTAAATACCTATTTCTCCGAAAATAATTTCAATTAAAATAAAATATTCTAAATATAACCTAAAGCAATATTTTTTAGAAGCGCTCTGCTCGAAAGAATGTTTTTAGAATTTTTTGAAGTGATTACTCGGAGTAATATAGTTCTCTATAGCATGAGCTATAAGTTTTATGGTCTAAAAAATCGAATTTTGAAAGATTTTGGGTAAAATACAACTATTTTGAAAAAATGACGTCATTTTGTAATTTTTTTACCGTAAGTACGGGTATTACATATCTTCTAGTAAAGAATTTTCATTAAGGCTTTCTCCATAGGTAAGGTCACGAAAAATATAAAAAAAATTTTTACAAAACGGAAAAATTTCTTCGAAAATTTGTGTTTGAAAATTTATATGTTTTTGCATTCTCTCAGTAAAATTTATATTTATAATTTAATTTATAAAATCTATAACTCACGAACGACTTGAAAGAAACGACAATCAATCAAACACGTGTTAGCGCGTGAAATGAGCTTTCCAAAAAGGTATAGCATGAACCTAATTATTATAAAGCCTCCGATTTTCCTACGCTTCCCAAAATTATTAGCCAGCACTGTGCTGAGCAAATACTCATGAATTCTCTAATAAACTCTAAACTTTGTTTATATAAAACAATGAGCTGGTTACCAAGGCAACTCGATAGTAAAATGTGCGTGGACGGACAGTAGTCTAATGCAAATACTTTTGGTTTAGCAATACTGAAAAATCAAAATTACAAAATTACAAATATTTAATTAATTCTATAATTATATTAACAGATTTTTCTTAAAACTTACCGTTTTATAAAAAAATTCGGGGCGGTATTGTGTTCATCATAATATTTAGAGAGAAAATTGAAATGGCAGCATGCTTTTAGGCGCATGCGCTTGCTCTAGCTATAAAGCAGGAAAAAAATGCATATTACGCATACTTTCCAGTGAGCGGATTTGTAGTAAATTATGCTGAAAGAAAGAATTCCAAACAGCAACCACAAAATGCCAGCAACAATTGCCGTGACAATAACAACAACTGTTGTATTATTTGTTTACAAAAATATTTACGATTGCTGGCACGTGATGGCCAAGCGAAATTGTGAAAAAAGGAGAAGCAGTAGCACGAATAATATTTATAACCATTTTTCTAGTATGTGTGTTTGGTAAAGTGTTTGTGTGTTGGTTGGGTGTGTATGTAGGTGCTTTTTAAGTGGATTGTAGGCGTTTGGCGGTTATTGAGCACTTGAAGTGCTCTCAGACCTGTACCTTTGACATTTATGTAATAAATAAATTTCCATTATAATATTGCCATTGGCTATTGCAGGCACCTGCGTCGAAACATTACCCTTCTTTCAGGTTCATTGATTTTGCGTGAATTCTTCACTTATTTTTACATATGTATGTGTGTGTATTGAAAATGCGAAATCTGCGAACATTTTTGTTTATTGAACATTTGTAGTAAATAAAAGTGATTTATTTTGTTGAAGAGTTCAACAGAAGGCCAAATCAAATAATTTCACTTATATATGTATACATACAAAACACAGAATATTTATGAAATTGTACATGGAGTATTACCCATGATAATATTTAAACACCTCCTATTGTTTTTTTTTTGGATTTTGACTGGAAAAATCCATCCTTCTCGCTGACTTAACTCAAGCTGCTAGTGTATATCACCTGTGTGGACTCAATCAAGCTTCTATTAATTTTTCATGGAATTCCGTTTTCACAAGGCATATATTTCCTTTGCCTTACGATGAGTCAATGCGCTGGTTGGATTTTTCCAAACTAAGCGTTATGCTTTAATTTGCGTTGCTGACGTCAACTCGTTGCACGCGTCGCTAGTTTTGTATGTGTGTGTGTMGCTATAGGAATTTATGCTGTTATAYGCTGGCTTCCACCCGTTWTTGTATTTGTGTGCGAGTTATTGTTTGGCAATGATCCACTTTTATTTCCCGTGTTATGGCCACATTCGACTACGGCATCAAGGACTTGCAGCTATGGCTTCAGTTCGATTGCACTATAACGAGTCTGAAAAGAAATTCTGATATTTTGTTGTATTTTTTATAGCGGAATTCATTCACTATTTTATTATGTGTGCGTATGCAGTTACAGTTACATGATTTTACTCAAAAGAGATGGCGACTCTGGCTATACGCATGAGGAGAAATGTGAAGAAGGAGGCAATTTAGAGCAGCTCGTTCCCTTCAACCCAAGATTGTCTCAATATCAGCAAACAACTAACACGAAAGGAGGTTAGACATTGAGATTTCCAATCGTTTTCAGGAGGTTTAGAGAATAGGCAAAAGTCATTTGGAACCAAATCTAATAAATGAAATGGGTATTTGTGAAGAGTGAAGTAGCGAAGACACTTGAGGAATCACTCATCAACTGAGCCTAGGAAACTACTAGTACAGTACCACCACAGCACTTAGCGTCATAAACGTTCAGATAGTTCGTGGCCTTAACCAGAAACCACACTGTGAGTGAACGATTCTCGTAGCGTTGGAGTTGTCAAAACCCTTTGATTCAGTGAGTCACACAACACTATTGAGGACACCGAAAAAACTAAGCTCCCTCCATGACTAAAGAGGTTGAAAATGAATTACTTGAGCGGTCGTCAATCATCCGCACAATTTCAAGGCAAAAACTCAAAACTGAGAAGAATGAAACAAGAGGTTCCGCAGGGTGGTGTACTCTCTCCGCTATTGTTTAACTTCTATATCTCTTAACTCTCACAGCCACCAGAGGGAGTTTCTATCAACATGTACGCTGATGATACACAACATTGACGTCGGTCAGTCAATGGACAGTATTGTTGAATCGTTGAATTTCAATATATGTACCGAAATAAAAAAAAAGTAAAAGAACACCAACAACAGCTAAGAAACCATGTTGTTCTTTTGTGGCACGTTTTCCCGCATGTGCAAACACCTACTCAAGATCTGCCTCCGCCCGTGGCGTGGCAAAAGTTGGTGACCTCCCATCCACCCACTCTTATTTATATCGCAAGGTCGGCAATGGCACAGTTTGCGCCAATTTGGAGTGCCCTAACAAGCATCACCAACGCAATTGGTTGGCACTACCACAAGTGCACACACCCACATGTCTATGTGTGCGCGTATTGCTCACTGTACATGCGTTATTTGGCCTCAAATGACTCCGCAGGGATGCCGAATTGCAATATTCATTGTTCTGTAAAGTTTAATACTCTTGGCATATTGTCTGCTCATGGTAATGGCATCTGGCAACTCTTATTACGTTTTGTGTTACGGAACCTCAAGCCAATTGAGAAATGACTCATGGTTATTATAGCATTTGACATATTATATTATCAACTCGTTGAAGTCAGTCAGTATACCTTATGAGCGACGCTAGATTGCTTTAGGTTAAGAGGTCGGTCCTAATAGGGATCTCACTTGCACAGCTTGGAACGCCGATCTGTTGTGGAACCTAAACCTTTTATATAATATTTGGTAAAACTCTTAAAAAGTCTTTTGATACTATCTATATATTATATCTATATCTTCTGATTTGATGAGGGTAAGATTATCGAGATGTCAGTCTTACAAAGGCTGGACAATGGATAAGAAAGTACCTGTTTCTACTTCACCTTCTTCCAGACAACTATGGCAACTAGTATACACCAACATTTTTAGCATCACCGCATGATTGCCTATTGGATAGCGTCCAGTAACAAAGCGGCAAGATGAACTTAAGCTTAAGGTTCCATATATGTGCATTCTACTCTAGGCCGAAAGGATCTCGCGGTCACACAGGAGCTAGTCTTTGACCAGCCCTAGCTACGGGAGCTTTATTGGTCCAGTACTAGAAAGCAAGACGCTAATGGAGATCCAACTCGGTTCCCTCCGATATCAATGGGACAAGGGTGTCCCCTCTGGTTGCGTATTGACTTTGTAGTTAACAGCGACGATGGAGTAGCTTGCTGACATTCCTTGGGAAGTCATACACTCCTGGATTAGCCGCCGTTAGCGCACAGTTAGTGAACTCAGCGCTAATATTGTCGCTCTGCTGTCGGCACTACGTCTACCGCCATCTTAATATCAGCCATATCTGACTAAAAACAGTACAGCGGTCCGGTAGCTTAAAGCTAATATCTTCGACCCAGCCGTGCAAAAGCTCACTGTGCCTCTTCTCCATCGATTATCACCCCATCCACATATTCCTTTTCGGTGGATGAGCTGAGATAATTGTGCCACAATTGGCCGATCCGAACAGATTCGGAGATAATCGAAAAAGACTGTCAACATAGACCTGCTTTAACGTGGCTTTTTCGGCTCCGGCTCACCTTTGCCACGATATTAGCCAGATCGATAGTCTGTTTCCAGGAAGCTTTGTTCACAGACGTTAAGGCGTCGCTGTTTTTCGAAAAATTTGAATGATTTTTTAACCAAATGATCTTTCAAAATGGTTCCCACTGATCCTTCCGATATTCCAACGATGCCTGTAAAATCCCTAAATGTTAATCGTCGCTTCTCAAGCACCAATTTCTGTATTTTATTGACGTGTTAATCATCAACTGATGTTCATGACCGCCCTGAACGTGGTTCGTCGTCAACGTGTTCTCGACCCTCTTTGAATAATTTGTACTGATTAAAAACAGTTGTTCGTATTATCACGAAGGAATTTTCCTGCATTATGAACGTTTCGGCACCATAACTTTGATTCCGCTCACAAAATGTAATGGAACTTCTTTGCTGAATAATTTCACTCATCGTAAGAATCGCGGTATGCACTTTATATACTTCAGAAAGACAAGCGCATGCGAAACACTAATGTTTGTTTTGATGTGACATTTGGCGCAGTCATATCAAAAAAATCAAAAAAACCATACCAACCTAGAAAAAATACGACGAATGGGTTTTTACGTGAAATTTAAGTAAAAAGTCTTACTATCTTTTGCCAGCAGTAGACCTATAGTATAGTATATAGTAGTATATATCTATATACTATTAAAGATATTTTCTTAGGAGTATAAGTCATATTAACCCTTTCATAAATAGTGACTATAGAGCAGTTCAAATGCCGTTTCTTACCTTTCCGTCTAAAGTTTTAAGATAGTAGCTTAAAAGGTGCTCAGACTAACACTTGGCACATTATCGCATGAAAAGCACTTAAGCATATATGTACATACATAAATGAATATATAGTCATAAAAGTAGTTGAAGTACTGAAGTGAGCATTTAGGGAAAATGTATGTAAATATGTATACACTCATAAGAATTTCCGTTAATCAAATTTTAATGCTATAAATATTTATCCATTAAATTTAATAAATTGTCAAGCGAAGTTTCGTTCTTTTTGTGCACAATAGGTACAGGAAGTCGAAGAATTCTACATCCGTTTCAATAGTGTGACAATGAATAATTACAATGGCATTGACAGCATTCGATTAGCCTCTCTATTAGCTTTTAAAGGCCTATATTAAAAATAAAATATTTGTTAAAAAATATTGTATATTATAATATCTAATTTGTATGGCATAAATATATAAGCTCAAGGTCTGAAAAACTAGATTAATAACTTTAAATCCAATCTAAAACTTGTGTCTTTGAAAATATAAAATGCAACTCATTGCACAGACATAAATAAAAAATATATTTGCAAAGCAAATACATAATCATCAATTATGGAAATTAGTATAAATATTTGCGAAATATCTGGAAATAGCCAAGTCATGTGGGCGAAAAACGCTACACACTCTAAGCTCTTAACTTCCGTTCGTCAATTAATTATGTTTATGCATTTAGTGTTTATATTAATTTTTTTCTTAAGTCAGTCACTATGCTCACTGTGCCATTTTATTTGTTTATAAACAAACATGAGACGGTTGAAAAATATGCAGAAATCAAATATTTTTGCGATAAAAACTTGTTTTGGAGCGAAAAAATACGTGCGATAAACGATAATTTATCTAGAAGTGACTAAGGTTTATCAAAAAGTATACTGTGCGCATAACATAGATACATATATACTATGTATATATACAAATAACATTACTAACTATTTATAAAAACTGCGTGCCCTTACCATAATCACTATTTACTTTGTTACTAAGTGTTAATGGTCCTTTCTGAAGCTTACATTTCTAAGTATAATAATAATCATGATTAGATACAGGCTTATCTTAGTAAAAACGTTTGTCAGCTAATTTTGTTCGTAATAATATAATTAACAAAAGCTAAAAGCTAAAAGCCAAAATACGCAAAAAACTGGTAACCATGAAATTTTCGTCATTTCTTAGTTTGCCAACGCTTTTAACTGTTTATATCAACAAGTATGTTAATTTTCTCTAACTTATGATTACAGACATATGTTAACTTTTTGAATGGCCTTTTAGCACTTTTTTTGTTTTTTACATAAAACTGTTTGTTTGACATTGAATTTAATGCGCAAATCTCAGAGAAGTGTATTTTACAATGCCCTATTTCTAGATAAGCGCTAGTTAGCTTTAAGTTTACTCGAACAAAAATAAATTATAGCGTTAGTAAATCTCTTATCAGTCGCTTAACTGCGTTGTTTTTGAAATTATTCAATTTTATGTACATACTTATTTCTAGTTTACATAGATGAGCTTACAAAACCACTGTTTAACGAGAACTTTATAACTTTGGAATTTTCCGTAGAAAAATATAAGAATGTATAATATTTTATTTTCCTGATAATTGTAGCATTTAAGGTGCATACAAAAATGTGAGTTAATGTTCCTGCAACATAGAATAACGCGTGGAAGCATTGGAGGCTAGAGCGAAGTACTTTTACACTTGTTCCTGCCAATATAGAGAAGTTTAATTTAGTTTTCTATTTCCAGCAGTAGGTTTTAAACGAAAACAGATGCTGGAGAGTCTGCACATATCGCTTAACTAGTGAAAATTCAGGATATTATAAGAAATTATTGGCGAATTTATCGATAGGTAGGCTTAGAAGCTCGTATTCTTACCATCGGATGTGATTTTGAGTGAAGCAATATTCATCGTGTTCTCAATTTTTTCAATCCTCAGATTTTTATT